CAATTTACCCATTGTCTCCTCTATATATTTTTAACTATAATTTTCTGTGAGTCTGCTCTTAAGGGTTAAGGGAACAATCCTGTATTGTCCCTTTTTAACTACTGCTGCTCTATCTGAAGCAACACATTAATTATTAGCACCTGTTATCATCTGAAGTTCTGGCCTTTAATACAGCATGTATACATTTCCTTTGAAATATTGTAATTGTTGTTATCATTTATAGCCATTTCTTTGAAACATATTTTGTTTGTTCATGTCCTTTGTATTATGTTCTTTATTTGTTTCTAGTTTTCACAGTGTCTTTCCTAAATAAAAGTATCATATCAGTATGAAGCATGGACCTTATTTCTTGAAACCAGCATATAGTTAAAATCACAACTGTATCACTATTTCCATGGCAAATTTCAAAATGTGCTTCATTCTTTATTTCCACCAATTCAGACTTTTACAGATACGATTATGTTACTTCTATGTGATGGGATCACACTCATTTTTTTCGTATTCAAAATTTAAGTAAAATGTTCCACTCAGCTTTTTCCTAAGAACTACTACATAGTGGAACAGACTCCCATGTGGATGCTTTCCGGAACTTTACAATCTTAACCTCTTTAAGTCAAGTGTGAATTGTTATCTATCCTTCTCATTCTTATAATATTTACTTCCTAACCCTCTTTCATTCATATCACACACTTCATTCATCATAACCATTTTAACAGTAATCCTCTACCTTGAGTGGCTCTCAAGTCTTGTATTTTTAAGATTAAAAAAATAAATTCCAGCATATGATGAGGTAATGAAAATTGCTGATCCAAGGCTTGGCTTATTTTGTAACATTGTCATAGAATCAATATTATTGAGTAATATTTATTAATATAACAATATATATATTAATATAATTGATTAATATCTTAATTTTTTGTAGTAGCTTTTTATTACCATTTCACTCAGGCCTTCAATCTACAGCAGAAAGTAGACAACACAGATCAGAAATAAAAGATATTGGTGAGATTTAATCTGCTTTGCCTCACGGAAGTCTGCTTGATCACATTGGTTATTTTAAGTAACTCAGTAATTTGAATTCAACTGCTTCATAGATGAACAAATCTAACCTATAACTCATCACTATATTCCCTAGTCTCTCACAATACCATATTTATTTGCTTTTTACTAATGGTATTATCATTATATTATTTATATTAGATGTATGGCTTTTTGTATGACTCAGAATCATGGAGTCTGTACAGGTACCATATATACCAAATGGATGTTTTCCATAAGAGCTGTTTGTGTGCCATCTGTGGGGTTAGCCTTCAAGACAGGAATCCAATGTAGACCTGTTTAACAAGTGTAATATTGAAGGAATCAAGACTTTCCTCATACAGTCTCAGTTGCAGTGGAACTGGTCATGTCTTGAGAATGTCTGATGACAGGATACCCAATATTCTAATCTACAGCCAGTTAGATCAGGGCTATAGGAATGTAGGATGCCCATGGCTAAGATACAAAACCAAGCTGAAGAGAAACTTGTCAGCTGTCAATATACCTTATAACACCCTTGAACGCTTAGCCTTGGCAAGGGTAGAATGGAGATCACTGTGTTTTAGTGGTTTTCAGTCTGTTAGCCTGAATCATCTTCAAGAAGTGAGAGCAAGATCTAAAAGGTCAGCCAATCAAAGAGTGACATCATCCTACAATCGTCACTCTTGCTCCATATGCGGCCTCCTTTGCAAATCATTTGAGGGTCTTAAGTGCCACTTAAGATTATCACACAAAATTCATAACTGAATCACTTGGTTAAGCTGTCAGATACTCATATCCATTATCCATTATCATTAGATGAATCAATGTCATTATTATTTATTTTTATCTTCACTTTTATTATTATTATAATTTTCTGATTAGCATTTATTTTTCATCATCACTTTTTATTAGCTGAGCATTGTCAAAAATTATTAATTTTGACTGACATTTAGCTTAATTTTCTGTTGCAAACTGTAAGAAATTTCTTTTTTACTGATACTATGACTCTAGGTAGTATAAGATTCTTAAATATTATATATGGTAAATTCTAAGAGATATAATTTGATGCAAAAAGTAACCAAGTAATTACATATAAATACAAATTAAAATTTAGTATTTCTCATCGGTTTTACACATTTGACAAACTGTACATTTGAATTCCGAAATAAAAAAAAAAAAATTTATTTTTGGAGAAAGTATTTTGATAGCAGACAAAGAAAGGAAACAGCAGAAACTCCAAGAGAAGATAGTAAAGGAAAGTGAGAAGAAAGGACTAAGCATCAAGTGTAAGAAGACCAGAAAGAAAAACAGGCTAAAATGTGCACTGCAAATTAGAGATACTAAAATTTAGCAAGTATAAAAATGTAATTACCTGGAAAGTGCTTTAATAGAGAGCAGAAAATGTGACACCAAAATCCAAAGCTGCATTGGGATAGCAAAACATGCCTTTTAAAAGCTAAGCAAAATATTATGAAACAGGAAAATTTCATCAGAAACAGAGTGCTAAACTGTTATACAATATCAGTCTTCCTCTATGGCAGTGAATGCTGGACAACTCCTTTACAAATGAAGAAATGTGATTCTACTGAAGGAAGCTACAAATAACATGGACTGATCATGTGTGTAATGAGGAAGTTTTAGAAAAAAATGGAAACAAAAATGTTGCTTCAACTTAGAAATAGTTAGTTGACATTTCTAGGGCACATAATGAGAAATGAGGGCTTTGAGAATTTGACACTTACGGAACAAAGTGAAAGGGTGAGTAACTTACTTAACAGGTTTATGTAAATGGATGGGACAGGGAAGAGATGGTGAAAAGACAAAGCTTAATAAGAACTACAAATAGGAAGTAAAGGAGAGCCATGATCACCTACCTCCTGAAAGAACATGGCACATAAAAGAAGTATTTTAAGTGATTTTGAAATGAAAAGTTTTAATGTATTTTTTTTATATTTTAAACCATTTTCCTGGTTTCTGGAACATATTTAAAGATAGATGGTTTTTTGTGTTATGTCAGTCTCATCATTGTCTGTCATCACATCGTCATATGATATTTACCATTATGTGTTTTTTTTTTTTAGAATTTATTTATGAAAGATACGTTTAGTCCTAAATATATTTTTTAAATAGATGTTGTTCATACTCCATTCAGGATAACTTTTAATTTTTAAATATTTGTGATTTGGAGAAAATTTGACAAATAAAGTCTAAAGCAAATAACTATTTAATAGTTTGAATATATAAACAAAAATGAAAACGTTTTATTTTGATAGTAGGTATCCTTTAACAATGCCAAACTGTTTTTCCAACAGTCAAAAAATTTTACATCTTCAGTGTTTTTATTAACATATTCAAACAAATTTTCTTTATAAATTTTTTATTAAGTAATGCACTTTCAATTGGAGATATAACTTTAAAAGTAGATCTAGTTCACATGTTAGCATATTGTTGGAATAAAATCTATTAACTGTCATCTTTTTGAAGATTTTAATGGAGTTGTATTGTCTCTCATACACTCAACGTCTATCAAATGGTGAAATCAAGTGCATTCTAATTTATTTGAAAAAACTGTAGTTTGAAGATTAATTATTTTCATTATTCCACATATTTTCTGAACTATTGTTTTCATCTATGTTGTTTTTTAATATAACATTTTGTGTGATATAATCTTCAGTTTATTTTAGGTGTATTTTTTGCGTCCAATGGTTTTCAGAAATTAATACATTTCCTTCTTTTTCGTCTTCTCAACTAGAACCTAACAGTTACATTCCTTAGTTCCACCAATTCTAACCTTCACAGCTAAGACCTGCCAGGCTATGTACATTATAGTAAACCACCTTCATTCCCTTTACATTCTATCAGTGGGAAGTAAATTCCCCTTGAGCAGCTTCTTCCTATAAACTGATGCTTTGTGGAACTGACTCCCAAGAGGATGGTTCCCTGATCACTACAATCTTAAACTATACAAATCTAGGATTAACTCCATAAATACTCTGTATCCCTCTAACTTGAGTGGCTTTTAGGCCTTGTACAGGTGAACGTCATTGTAAAAATAAAGAAAATGTGTTACAGAATTTAGTGTTGTATTAGATCTTGTATTAGTAGCATTAACTTTGGAACCATCAAGATAAAATCTCTGATATTTTTATTCTTTGAAAAACTTTGGCGTTATCACTATGAAAGAAGAATAAAAAGTAAAAGATGAATTTCAGAATAAGAAAAGTGTTAAAACAAATCTGTTTTCATTCTCTAGAATCATGAGACATGGAACCTAAACATTCAGGTTTGTTTTATCCAACAGGTACTTAATTATCTCCCTTGGTAACTTAATCAATTTTTCTGACTTCTCTTTAACTTTATTTTAAACTTATTTCAGCTATTATCTCTTTAGAAGCCATCTTAGATAACTTAAGAAATGTAGGAGTTTGTTAAAAAATGTATTTATCAGCAAAAGTGAGCATAGATTTTGAAAATCATATATGTTGTTTTTTAATATAACATTTTGGATGATATAATCTTCAGTTTTCTTTAGGTGTATTTTTTTGTATCAAATAGTCTTCAGAAATTATTTAGTATATTTCCTTCTTTTTCATCTTCTCAACTAGAACCTAATAGTTACATTCCTTAGTTCCACTACTAGCCTTTATGGTTAAGACCCACCATGACACATAATTCCCTTCTTATTTCACTGGTGGGAAGTAAGTTCCACTCAAGCTGCTTCTTCCTACAAACTGATACTTTGTGGAACTAACTCCCAAGAGGATGCTTCCGTGATCACTACAATCTTAAACTATACAAATCTAGGATTAACTCCATGTGCCTCTTACTCTGTAATCCTCTAACATGAGTGGCTCTTAGGCCTTGTACAGGTGAACGTCATTGTAAAAATAAAGAAAAAGTGTTACAGAATTTAGTGTTGTATTAGGTCTTGTATTAGTAGCATTAACTTTGGAACAAACAAGATAAAAACTCTGATATTTTTATTCTTTGAAAAACTTTGGCGTTATCACTATGAAAGAAGAATAAAAAGTAAAAGATGGATTCTAGAATAAGAAAAGTGTTAAAACTAATCTGTTTTCATTCTCTGAAATCATAAGACATGGGACCTAAACATTCAGGTTTGTTTTATCCAACAGGTACTTAATTATCTCCCTTGGTAACTTAATCAATTTTTCTGACTCCTCTTTAACTTTATTTTAAACTTATTTCGGCTATTATCTCTTTGGAAGCCATCTTAGATAACTTAAGAAATGTAGGAGTTTGCCAAAAAAATGTATTTATCAGCGAAATGAATGTATTTGAAAATATAGGAAAATCAGTTGCCAATAAAAACAAAACTAATTTTAGTGTTTGAAGTCTTTCATATCAAGAATCAATGCAAAACTATTTGAAGAGCTTTAGCAATTGTTCTATGATTTTTTTTTTTGTTAATCAACTTACCCCAAGCAAGGTGATAAGGCCACTAAGATGCAAGGGGCTACTGGGAGTGAAACAGAATGAAAAGACTTTAGAAGGAACCAAAACCCAATCTTATACAGGAAACAAGGTATAAACCTGTACTCCTGTTCAAAAGATCAGGGAGGAGTATGAACTTAATGATAAGTAAACTTGTCTACTTCTATTAACTTATTAACATTCAACAGGATAGCCAATTCTTTGGTAAGATAAGATTAAATTCTTTTCACTTTTACCTATTTATCTATTCTCACATTAAAATACGAGACATTAACATTCAGTCCTGTGATTCTGTTAGGATGAAGTGTTTTACTTGAGAAAAAAAAAAAAATAACAAACTAACTTATATATATGACTCAGCTTTGGTCACTTTCCCACCACAGAAATGTAGTTTTCCTGGGCCTTTTCTATAAATATTTTTATGGTAATTGTTCTCATGCACTTTCCTGTTTCATACCTTTACTTTATGAATATAAATGCAATACTAGATTGGAAGTTAGGTCACATTATTTTACATTTAAAATTGCTAGATGTAAGTATAAGTTCTATGTTAACAGCTTCTTCTCATGCTTGTGGAACTCTCTTCTGGCTTCCATTATCATCTTCTGTCTCCTTAATTGGTGTTCTTTTATTATCCTCTCTCCTTAATGTTTTTTCTTCAGATTCATTCACACTCAATTATGACTTATGACTTGGTGGCTTTATAGCCTTGGTTGGGGTGTAATGATTAATATATATATATATATATATATATATATATATATATATTATAAATTAATTGATTTAAAATATTTTTTTTTCACTACACAGTTCTAACCCTGTTTCAAAAATGGATATATATATATATATATATATATATATATATATATATATATAAGTTGAAAATATGAAATAAATTTAATAGAATAATTAATTATGGAATAAGTAGGAATTTGACATATTTCACTAGTTATTTAGTTTTATCAGCAATTTTGGGTGTGGAATGATCCAGAATTATATTTCTTTTTTAAATTCTATGTTATTTAAAAAATTTAGCATACACTTAGTTGTCACAAGATATACATGACATTCCACACAACCAATAGAAACAAAACAAATAAAGAGTTTAAAAATATATAGAGACATAACACTAATACCAATATATAAGATTGTCTCACATGAAATGACACTTTATAGGAAATGAGTAAAACACTTCTGAAATGTTAAATAATTAAGTTATTTAGTTGAAATAGACACCATTTTGATGAATGACTGTTCACAAACATACCTCAAAATTCTTGATTCTGTCTTTAAAAAATTTTTCATCCTTTGATGTGATAAACAGTTCAAATGCTTTGATTACCTTTTCCTTATTGGAGAATGTTTATTGCGAATGAAAAACTCAAAATGCTTTTAAATAAGTGATAATCTGTAGGAAAGATATCAAGTGAATATGGAGAATGATCAAAATTTCACAATTCAGGCTATGCAACTTTTTGGACAGTTTATTGAGAAACATGCAGCTGTGCATTGTTGTGCAGCAAAATTGTGCCATCCCTATTCACAAATCTAGGATGTTTCTTTTTCCATTTTTCAGGTATACACTCAATTTCTCCACAATACAAGGTTGCTGTTATTGTTTTCCCTTAAGGCAAGAATGAATAATAAATGTCCCATTTGAAAGACCACAATACTGTAACCATTAACATTTTAGGGTGCAATGGAGGTTTTGGGTATTGTTTTGGTGATTCATCTGCGTCTAATCACTGGCCTACTCTTTTACTGTTGTCAGAGTATTCATTTCTCATTGTATGTAAAGATTCGGTGCAAGAATGATCCTTTTTACGATCGGGAAAGCAACAGAGAGCACACTTCAAGGCAACATTTTTTTGAGTCTTATTCAGTTCATATAGAACAAACCTATCCAGTTTCTTTACTTTTCCAATTGTTTTCAAGTGATGAGAAACAGTTGTGTGAGATGTTAGGAGTTCTGATGCAAGATTTCAGACTGTAGTTTTTGGATTTTGATCAACCAAAGCAATCAATTGATCATGTCTGATAACTGATCATGGTCTTCCCTTTTGGTTTATTTTCAAGACTATAATCTCCCGCACAAATCTTCTGAAAGTATCTCTGTACAGTTCTGATTTCAACAATACCATTACCAAAGTCTGCCTTGATATTCCAAAATGCTTTAGAGGCAGAATGACCCAATTTGTACTCAAAGTAAGATTAGTCGACATTGTTTCATTGGACTTATGAGCAACAATATATTGAAAGAAAAATTATTTGGGAAGATTTTTTTTATATACTAAAGAGTTTACTTTGTTAGACAACTGGATCAACAACCAACCAAATACATGTGATATACAATAAAAAGAAAACAATATAGAACTTAAAAACTGAAATAACTCCAAATCATTACACTCTCATAGTATTTTTGATCAGACATGGCTCTTTAAACCAGACAAACTTTTAAAACCTCTGGCACAAAATTGGCAGATATAAAACATATATTATGTTGCCATTGGAGTTATTTTTTGAAAGTTTGTATGTCTTTTTCAGTCCACCAGACAACTTGCGCATGTTCCAACAAATGTCATATGAATTGTTGGTATTTAATGTAATTTTGGTAGTCAGAAGTCTGGTATAATAATTTTGCATATGGCATAATTTTTCTGATTTATTAAAGCACAGCTTACCACAAACATTACATGTGAGATCATATCTGTCACCTAAATGGTCTGAAAGTTTTACATCATGACCTTTTTGGACAGTTCTTTTCAGCTGTTCAGTTTGCTATCCAAGAATGCTCAAAAGCATTTATATCAGTCAGAACATAGCCAAATAATACAAAGCATAGATATAAATATTTTTCAACATAATCTCTTTAATTGTCAAATCATTTAACCCATCACTTCTTCATGGATCATAGAGAGTGAACATTATACAGTGAAAATTTCAGATCAAAATTCAACTAATAGCTATGTGAGGCTCTGGATATTGATCCATCTTCCTATACACTGTGTCTCCTATTATTAGTCACTTCATGTTTTATTGATATATCAAATAAATACTTACTAGAATCTAGAGGTTTATTTGCTCAATGTTAACAAAATCTATCTGTGCAACTGGGATGGAAGCCAGTTTGTTCTGCACAGATGTAAATAGATGGCAGCCATTTGTTTGAAATGTCCTGAATTTTGAAAGTTCAATAGCCCTCTTATAAGTTTCAAACTTTATGGTTTATAAAGTTGATTTGATGGATAAATAAAAATGTTTAATAACTTCAGATTTTGCAAAAGATGAAACAGTGTGAAGAAGTTTATTGAAGATCTTGTACAATTCCTATGTTGCTTTGAGAACTTTATCTAATCGATCTGTGTCAGATATCAAGAAAGTTATAAAATATCTCTATGGTATTATTAGCCATTATGGCAGCAAGGAAATGTCAAAAATCACAAGATTTCATGTTTTGAATCAAATCACAAAGAATTCATGTTAAATCCAAACTAAAAATTTTCCCCTTCAAAATTATCCTCCTTAAGTCTAATGTACTTTCCCATCCTTCTCCACCATGTGTCCATCCACATCTGGAAGAACATCACCCACCATGCTAGAACAATCTCTCAACTCACCTGACCTGGCTCTGTGTGTTTTTTTTTCCCTTTTCTCAAAGCTCAAGAAGTTCATAAAAGGGACCTGTTATCAAGAGGACTGTGATAACGAAGCTGCAGAAAATCCTTTCAGGAGTGCATGGAGGCATGGTGGAGAAGGATTGGATAGTGTGTTAGACTAGATGGGAGATAATTTTTGTAGTTTGGATTTGATATAAATTTTTCGTGACTTCAGTCCTGTTTCTTTTCTGACACACCTTATATATATATATATATATATATATATATATATATATATATATATATATGAAAAAAAAAAAAAACAAAACTTCTAATATGCAATTATGCTGTTTTTTAATTAACATTAAAACAGCATAATTGCATATTAGGATTTTTGTTGTTTTTTTCCGTATATTTTCTTCATACTGTCGGATCTATATCCATATATTATATATATATATATATATATATATATATATATATATATATATATATATATATGAAATGGATTAAATCTGACAATTATTTTAATATATTTTCTGTCTATATGTTTTTTATGGATACACTTATTTGAGTAAGTGCTCTGTTTTTTAATTGAACAGTACTAATTACATTTACCGGCCTGAATATTTGAGAGATTTTGTAAAAAATATGTGTTATCCAACAGGAATCGAACATGTATCCTATACGGTTTTTCCCAAACATTCAGGCCAGTAAATGTAATTTATAATGTTTAATTAAAAAACAGAGCATTTACTCAAATAAGTGTATCCATAAAAAAATGTATAAATAGAAAATATATATATATATATATATATATATTATAGTAAAAAGAAAGAACAGTAAGATATATAATCCAGTGTTCTTATTGATATTTTTATTTTTACAAAAAAAGTGCTCAATGTAAATTTACAGATCATGAATATTATAAATTAACTGATTTAAAAATATGTTTCCATCACTACACAGGAATTACCATGTTTCAAAAAGAGAAACTAACAACTTCAAATTCAATTATATAATTAAATTAAAAGCACTAATTCTGTTTCATTTTCAAGTGAATTTTGAAATCATTTTATTTAATTATATAACTGAATTTGAAGTTGTTAGTTTCTGCTTTTGAAACATGGTAATTCTTGCATAGTGATGGAACCATATTTTTAAATCAGTTAATTTATAAGATATATATATATATATATATATATATATATATATATATATATATAAAAAGATAGATAGATAGATAGATAGATAGATAGATAGATAGATAGATAGATATGTAAATATCCAAGGGTTGGAGTTAATGTATAAGTTTTGCAGCATACCAAGTTTTGTGCCGACAACCGTGAGTGCATATTGTTGAGGAGGTTTGATTTTTTTCTCATTATATTTTGATCTTCTCATGAGTCAACGAGATCTCGTTGACACCCAGCTGTTGTCTCTGAAGAAATAGAAATATTATGTATTAGTTTAGGGACCATTCCTGATGATCTTTGTTTGATGAAACAAGAGCATTGCTCTTTGTGGCCTTGGGTGCCTGTGTCTCAATAACAATGAAAAATCACTGACCTGGTTGGTTTTGTGAAATGTCCTATGGGTCAGCAAGAAACTGTGTGCTGTGGGGCTGGCAGTTACATCAGAGTGTGTGCACTGTGGTGAAGGAGTTTATGAGACACACCTTCTTTCACTGTAGTGTAGTATGCCTATAGTGGAAGCTTATTGAAGATTACATGTCTGCATACTGGGTAGAAAGTTTTTTTGTCCTCGAGGCCAGTTCTAGCTGTAGTAAGGTTGAACAAGAATGAACATTATGTATTCCTGTGCTTACTTGGCATTATGAGAGTCGTGTTGTGGATGATGCAAAATAAGGAATTTCATGGAGGTTAAAAGTTCTCCCCTTCTCAAATAATCATTTACTTTAAGCATCAGTTGAAAGTGAAGATCAGGGTAGAAAGGAAGCAACCATCTCCATCAAAATTTAATCAAAGGTGGGCGGCTGTTTTATAATAAGTGCATGTGAAAGGGGCTAATTTGAAGTTCCATCTAGATGTTGGCTAGTCATGAGAATTTTGGCCTCTGATTGATTATATGTTAACCTAGACCCATTGTAGGGTAGTTTTGGTGGTTTTTCTTTAGTTAAGACTTTGAAATTTTAACTCAGCTACAGTATGGAAGGTCATCAGCCTTTTATTTTGGACCCCTTTGTTCTGTTTAATTCCCTTCCCATTAATTGACTCTGATTTCAGCTGCGGGATGACATCTCATTTTAAGAGTTTTGAGTTTCATACTTGTTAAAATGTCTAATTGCAAGAACACCTGTATGAGTATTTGTGTTTGTTCCTGAGTTGAACTATATTAATTCTACAGTTTTTTGTCCAGTTAACTGTTATCACTGCTACCTTTAGAGTGTGGGTGTACACTATACTAACATTGTTTAGTTTTGTAAGTTGTTATTTTTTTACACTTATACATAAAAATTTAGGATATTTTATAAAATTGTTTAATCCTAGCTACCACAAAAACTATACATAAAGGATTAGGTAGGATCTCATAGAGAAAATGTGGTATTATGGTAACTGCGTAAAATTGTTTGTTGAGAGTTTGTTTTTTGGTAAAAGAGACAGCATTCAAGTAGATGGGAGATTGAGTCTAGACAGGTTGAAGATCAGTATTCCACCTTTTCCCCATTTTAGCCCTTGTGGCACATATTGTGTATTTTTGGCAATTAAATATTCATTACCAGAAGTTGAAACCAATATAAATATTGTTTAGACATTCACAATTTAATGCTTTTGCCAATACATCTGGGCATTATCAAGATCAGGACAAAAATCTCAGAATGTTTTTTTTTTACTTTTTGCATGATAAAAGTTGACATTGATAGATAGATGTGAATAGACTGATATAGATAAATAGATAGATAGATGTGAATAGACTGAGATAGATAGATAGATAGATAGATAGATAGATAGATAGATAGATAGATATGAACAGACAGATAGAAAGATAAGGACAGACTTAGATAGATAGACATGAACAGTCTGAAATAGATAGATATGAACAGACTAAGATAGATAGATAGATAGATAGATAGATAGATATGAATAGACTGAGATAGATAGATAGATAGATAGATAGATAGATAGATAGATAGATAGATAGATAGATAGGCTATATAGAGAGACAAAAAGAAAAAATGTTTAAAGCTAGACACATTACTGCCTTGATGTAATTTTCTTAAATTGGTCAACTTAATTTAATAAGCTAATGTGAACAGATCATTTAGGGGATTTGAAAATCTTTTGTACTGATTATTTATGTCAAGCTAGTCTATGGGAGAAATATTCTTAAAACTTAATAATTTATACCCATCTATATATACACACATTTTTATATGTAAATATAAAATTCCTGTAGTCTCCTTGCATGTGTGTTTTTCCAAAAGACATAACCTTGTCATGAATAGTATGTATTTTCTGTTCTGAAATGTAATGTCTGGGTACAACAGGAAATTTCTAAACTTTCCTTTTCATCATAGATTTAATCTGCAGCCTGATATATTAATGCCTCTGTTTACTGATACATAATACACTTCATCTTATCAATCCCCAGAAAAAAAAACTGACTGTTTTATTGGACGAGTAGATTAACAGCCAGAGAAAGACAAAATTCAGATGACCGTCTGGCACTTTATTGTCCACTCGTAGATTGTCAGGCAAAATAATTGTCTGTGGCAGAAAGCATAATTTTTTTTTCTCTATATGAATCATTTTTCAGTTGATAATTTTGAGTTAGGAAGAAGAGTAGAAAATGTGAAAGGTGGTACATGAAGACTTAAATGTAAGTGATGAGGTTGTTAGGGAAGAAAATAACAAAAAGGTGATGAATAGAAAATGATGAGAGAATAAGAGAGAAAGATTAAGAGGAAGTAGTTGATAAAGAAGAGGCTGTAGGAGGTGGAAAAAGAAAGTTAAAGAAAAAAGAAAAATAGGGAGAGGAAAAAGAAAACTGGAAAAATCAGAATGGTGGAGAAAGAAATCCGAGGAAAAGTTTAGAGAACAAAAAATTGAGAAGAAACAGAAGATAGGAAAAGCAAAATAGAAACAGATAGAAGAATGTATAGAAGGAGGAGGAGTGTGGATAAGAGAGAAGGTGGCAAGAAAATGAATAAAATATGAGTCATGGGGAGAGGTAGAGTGGAAGAAAAGGAAAGAGGAGTGGAAGAAAAAAAAGGAAGTGGAGAAGAAGAAAATACAAGAGGGGGAGTGGAAGAAAAGTAAAAGAAAGAAAGAAATAAAAGTGAAGAGGGGAGGAAGAAAGTAAAAGTAAAGAGGAGAGGAAGAAAAACAAATGCAAAGTGAAAGAAAAGAAGAAAATAGAAGGTGAAAAATTAAATGGAAGAAGGATTGGATAGAAAAGGAAAAGGAAGAAAGGATAAAAGTGAGGAAGAAAAAAATAAATAGAAAGAGGAGTGGAAGAAGAAAATAAATTTGAGGAGGAGAGTGAAAGAAAAGATAAATAGAAAAGGAGAAAATAGGGTAGAATCAGGCTTTTAAAAACAGAATAAAAAAGAAAGATGGAAGGAAGGTGCCTGGTATACAAGAATGGTTAATTATCTAGTCTGTTTGGAATATTTACTTGTGAATTTGTATTTGTACTGCACTAGGTGCTCTAATGTTGTAGCCTTGTGCCAGGCTAAGGTTGGCTTTGTAGAACAAGAAATAAATTTGAGAAAGAATGTAGCTTAAAAGAAAAATAGAATTTTGAAGGGAATAACAGGAAAGACAAAAGAAATATTGAAGAGAAAAGAAAAGCAGTAAGGAAAAAATAAAAGTATACGAGGAAGAAAACACGTAGCAGCAGAGTATATATTAAGGACAGGAAAGGTTATTATTGTTTGAAATGGCACTTTTACACAATCTTTCTCTGTAAGGAAAAGGAGGAGGAGAAGAAGAAGAGGAGGAAAACAAAAGACAAGGAGGAGAAGCGGTAAAAGTAGTGGTAGGAGGAGAAGAGAAAAAGGAGTAGGAGAAGTTGAAAAAGGAACTGGAGGGGGAGAAGCTGAAAAAAGAACAGGAGGAGGAAAAGCAGAAAAAGGAGGAGAAAAGGAAGAGTAGAGGAAAAAGGAACAGGAGAAGGAGAAAAGGAAGAGTAGAGGAAAAAAGGACAGAAGTAGACAAAGGAAAAGATGAGAATGAAGGAGTAGAAGGGGAAAAAGGAACAGGAGAAGAAGAGGAAAAAGAAGGAGGAAAAGAAGAAAAAGAAAAAGCAGAAGCAAAGGAAAAGGGGAGAAACCATTTTGAGATCGAAAAGAAAGGAGGAAAGCAAATAATATTAGAAAAAAAAAAGGAAAAAGCAAAGATAATTTTGAAGAATCTCTGGAAATGAAAAACATGAAAACTTAAAAAATATTAAAGAAAAAAATGAATGAAAAAGGTATAAAAATCAAAATGGATAAAAGAAACTTAAAAGAAAGAAACAAAACAAAAATGGAAATGAAAATGAAAAGAATAAAATCAAATAAAAAAGAAAGAAAAGTGAAAGACAAAAAGGAAAAAATGCAGGACAAAAGAAAAGATAAAGAAAATAACAGCAGTTAAAAAGGTAAGAAAAAGAGAAAGAAAGTAAAAAAACGTGAAGAAGGAAGACATAGAAATAAATAAAAAGAAAACAGGCAGGAATAAAGATACAAAGAAAACAAAAGCTTCCAAGAACACTAAACAATTGATATAAATAGATCTTATGAAAGAGACTCTCAAAATTGGCCAGATCATTCTTCAATAGAACTTATGCTATACAATAAGTGGTAACAGACATTTAAATTCTTTATTTGATCAAAAGTGTAAAAAGCTGAAATGACAACTTAAAACTCATAAGCTTCTTGGGTGAGAAGACTGGGAATAGATCAAAGTGTAAACACTATGGTATAAAAAACAAGACTTTTTCTTTTTCTAGAGTGCAGTTGTATAAAGTGGTGATTATATGAGTTAACTATAACAATAATTTCAAGTCAATTTTTCTGTAGACTTTGTTCATATTAAACTGCAAGATTTCAACAGAAGATAAGGCAAGTGATTATCATAAATGTTAACATAATATTAACGATTATTGATGTATTTAGCCAGTCTATCTTATGTGCCATATCCCTTCAAGATTTGAGCGATCATGGTTCTCCATAACTTCCTGACATTTGTAGCACTTAGCAATATTTGTCTCTTTACCAATCACCTCTTTCCCGTTTTGCCATCCAGTTAGACAAGCTCATTAGGTGGGTTGGTTTCCCCTGTCTCTTTTGCCTTCTATATGCCCTGTGAGTGTCATATTTTTCAGGCTTTCTTTTCTCATTACATGCCCAAGAAACTTCAACTTTTTCTTGCTGTATGCATTATTGTTTCTATTTTACTTAAAATTACTATTCTCCATCCATAGTATTCTCAGTATGCTGCTGTAGAACCATGTCTCTGTTGTCTCAAGTCTCCTCTTCATCTGTGAGGAAATCCTCCAACATGCATTGCCATATAGGAGGATTGATATTACATAGCAGTTCAGCACTCTTTTCTTTGTTTCTAATGACATTTTCTTGCTTCATAATACTTTTAGTTTTTGGAAGATATTTTTACAATTCCAGTGAGCCTTTAGATTTTGGTATCTCATTTTTCATTGTCTGTTTAAACAATTCTCAGATATTTAAACTTCTGTATTTGTCTGATTTTAACATCTCCAATCCATACCTTGCATCTTTGTTTTTTTTCTCTTGTTAACAACCATACATTTTGTCTTTTGTTGTTACAATAAAGAGCTTATGATTAGGTCATGTTGAAAGCACTAGTTTTCTTTCAATCACTGATTAGAATTAAAGCAGTTTAGATTTTTTGCAATCATTTCACCCGAAGCAAGGCAATAAAGCCACTATGATGCAAGGGGTTACTGAGAGTGAATGAATCTGAGAAAAACATTACTGAGGAAAGAGGACAATAAAAGAAAGGGATACAAGGGGACAGAAGATGATGATTGACATTGCATTTAAATTTTTGAGATCAGAGTTGACAGAAAAGCAAGAAGCCAGAAGAAAGTTTCACAAATGAGAAATGCAAGAGAAGTAACTGCTAGTAAAGGACTTATGGTTACATCAAGAAATTTCAACTGTAAAATGATGACACCTAGATGCTAATCTGGTACTGCACTTAAATTTGTAAAGTTGATGTACCAAAGAAAAAACTCATTAGAACGATTACCATGAAAATATTTATAGAAAACGCAAAGGAGAGCTACTCTATGGTGATGAGACTGATAACAGTGCAGATTCTCTTTTGGATTTTGTCAAGAATCTATAGATATATAGCAGAAGCACCAGACTAGGTGCAGTAGCAATATTCAATGCACAGACAAATGGTAAACTTATAAAGGTGTAAGATATTTTGGTGACAAAAATTATCTAGAATAACACAGTGAACCAATTTTCCTAGCAGCAAAATAAGCAATTGATTTGATATAATCATTCGACTTCATGTCAGTGAAAAAAAGCAATAGAACAAGAAAGTATAATTAGTTACTCTCTGAGAGGTTAGCATCAGTAATGCTGACGAAAGGCAAAAAAAAAAAGAAAAAAGAAAAAGAGTAGATTAAAAGAGAGAAGTTACATTTTGGAGATGTTAAAATTAACAAGCCATTTCTTTTCTCAGTTAACAACAGATGGAAGGTCATTTTTGTGATCAGCTACTAGTTTGACTTTATCAAACTGATCAGATTTACTATCAAACTGGACTAAATAGTTATGTTATCAGCATAAATACTAAAATGTTATAACTGTTTATGTTTTGAATTTTTTTTTATAGTATTTGAAATAAATGTATTGGAACAGCACAAAAATTTATTTCTGTGTAAAAGCTAAAGTTGCAAATAATTAATTTTATATGTAATAGTATCTCATAAGATATCCATTGAGGACCTGGAGCCCGACAAAAAATTTGGGCCTTCAGCTTCTAAAACTGGCTGTGATACATCATAATCATTATAAGAATAATAGAATTAGATATATGAGATATATCCAATGGATTTTATATATTCTATACATATGACAGGGGTTATGTCGCTGAGAAAATTTGCAAGTTTGTCAATGACAACTATAACATTGTAACTAAAACAGTATCAAGAACAAATGATAAATTCAATGTAATGAAGATAACAGATACCATTTATACAACTCATAACTCTTTGGGTCAAGTCATTGGATCCAACCAATTCCTTTATCCACTTGGCAGTAAAGATGAGGACAACATGCCGAAAAATACAAATAATATTTTTTTTCAAAAATGTATTGCTGGTATTTCCACCACAAAACCCAATTTTTTTCATAGTGTTTTGACCCCATTTTGGGGGTTAACTACTACAGGTGCTACCACCCCGGGTCAGGTTGGATCTGAAAAAAACCACTTGATCAGAGGCCTTGCTGCCAGATGTAGTTTATCACCATACCCAGGATGCCTCATTGGGAGGGGGTTCTTACCTCTCTACAGAGGTGTAGTTGACATATTATGAAGCCCCAGCTGACAGGGCGGGACAAAACTATGGAAATAATAAATGAAATATACAACAATGGTGACATACTAGAAAGCCTTAATAGATTCATAGCACTGCCTAAGAAGCCAAGTGAAAATGAATGGGAAAATTCCATAGAACAATCAGCCTAATGAGTCAGATAACTAAGCTTATTATCCAGATTTGGATGAAGAGAAGATATAGCAGAATTAGACTGAAAATAGGACAAGAACAATATGGGTTTGTTAACAACACAAGAACAAGAAATGTGATATATATGATCAGAATGGTATCAGAGTGAGGAATAAAAAAATGCAGGAGGATATCTACCTATGTTTCATAGACTATGTGAAAACATTTGATAAAATATGAAACAAAGATCTATTTAAATTACTAGAAAAACTTGATTTATTTTAGAAAAGTTGTCGGGTTATCTGGTAGGGTTACCTCCCTTGTCAGGCTACCTCCTCGTAATTCCTTAGTTCCTGAAATTGCTACTAGGGGACACTCTCCATATATTATTTATCTTCTTGTCCTCTTTTTCTTTTCATTTTTCAGTGGACACTACAACAATGTAATCTCTCATGAAGATTGAGTTTTCCCCTCTGTGGTGGGGTGCTATGCATTTCCTTCAGGAAACATGCATGAACATTACACACACACACACACACACACACACATGTATGTATGAACATTCACTCATGCATACTTTGAAACACAAACTCTCCACAATAATTTGTTACACACACAGTACTGTCTTTGTCAATTGTAACCCTTATTTTATGTTAATACACATATATTGGTTTGTACATATATATACTGGTCTTTGTTGTTTTCTTCCAATTTCCTTACATTTCTTTTGGTTGGACTCATCCATGAACCCACCATATTTGTAGTGGGCCCCATTTCAGGAGACCACATGTGTTTATTACACAACATGTAAACACAACTGGCCCACTACAAAGTATTAGAATAATCCAGAACATGTACTGAGAAGAAAGTTGCCTGTAGAAAATGAATTTGAGCATAAATAGAAAGGAGTATAAGATAAGAAGACATTTTCTTGATGTATTTATTCAGCCTATACACTGAGGCTTTCCCTACAATTATGTCCTCTTACATAAAAAAGAGAAATGTCATTTTTAAATATAAATAGAGTAGAATTATTCATGCCAATGTATAAGTAATTTATCAAATACAATGCATTAAATGTTCTTAATATAATAATTCTTCATTATTTACATTATTCGGACTATTGTCCTCATCTTTGTTGCCAGATGAAGACAATAGTCTGAATAAGGTAAATAATGTACATAATACCTCATCTCAGAAATATAGACAGATATAATAATTCTTAGTGTGATATTCTTAATAAATTCAGCTTGCAAAATAACACTTATTTTAAAAATAAAATAATCAATGTATAACACAACTTACATTAAAAAGTAAACAAATATGTATAAAAAGATTATAAAATTATGTATACTAAAGATTAGAAATGCATAATAACATAACAAAAATTATAATATAATAAACAAAGAAAAATATAATGCTAAATAGATAATTAAACAATCAAGAGTTTCCTTTTAAAATATGACATGGCTTTCTTTGAACAATGAAAAAACATGTCTGTTCACTTCAATATCTGTGTTCAAAAGTGAGGTGATATTAAGAGTACAAGAAGCCCTATTGGAGTTTATTATTGGTAGGTACAATTTTAACATAAGATATGCAGTGATATTGTGTTGATGGTAGCCACACACAAAAAAATCTACAGGATCTCTTAGACAAGTTGGTAAAGTGAGAAATAAAAAAACTAACCATCATTTGTAAGAAGACAGAAGATAGGATATAGAA